CTGAAGGCAGCAAGCTGGTTTCTCTCTGCCATCCAGATGTTGTCATAATCCTGAAAATCTTGAGAACATTTACAGAGATATTGTTGTATGGAAAAGTTATCTTCCAGTTTCTGCATCACACAAGGAGATGATGCCCCTTTGGACCTGAAAACTCCAGCAAAGACAAGAATCCCAAAGATGGAGCTGTAAATGGATTTAGTTCATCTCCTTCCACTTTTCTTCAAAAGTGCGCCTTCCTTCAAAAGTAGTGCAATCTAGAATAACGTTCTGGATGGATGAAAAGCTCAAAAGACAACTTGATGTCCTGCACACAAAACTGTCATCCAAGTTGGTTCTGACTGCATATTTATAACACTGGCATCCACGAGTGGGGCAAGAAAACCACTGAAGTTCTCCATTCTTTGACAATTAGCTGCTGATGGGCCGGTCCTGTGGCTTGTCTTTGTTTTGACACTGTCCCAGGCTCCATCTCATCCTCCTCTTCAAAGTCACGGTTAGACTCTGAATTTTCAGAAATGGGTTCCTAATTATGAAAATTATTCCTCCTCATCATTACCAACAGCTTCTCTCTTCAAAAATAATTTGAAAGGCCATCTGAGCAGAGATGGTTTTAGCTATCTTGTTCAGTTGAGACAAGGAACTACATTAGAAAAAAAAAAAATCTTTAATGTGTCCCATCCCCACATTGTGAGAACCTCAGCCTTGCTCCCACAAAACAAATAATAAAATGTGTGGGAATGTCAGAGCAGACAGCAGGTGGGATTGAAATTTGCAACAGGGTTGAAAAACAAAGCTCCCACACACAAACACCCACTGAGCAAGGAGACGTCTAAACAACGTCTCTTTTAAGTCATTTTTGCACGTCTAATTTTGGTCCCTTGCAGGTGCAGACTGTAACTCCAGACGACATCTTTTTCCGACGTCCACTGGACGGTCAATATAGACGTATTTTCTACATCAAAATTTAACTTATTTTATTCACTTCAGATAAAAATATAATTAGTAAGTGCTTCGTGTTGTCTTCATTGCATGTTCCCCTGCAGTGTTTAACACATTCACCCTCAGATGGATGTTGGAATGACTGGGGATTGACCTTGGGGTTTAAAGTCAGCTACTCTGCCGCTGCACCATCTTTGTGCAGCAAACAAAGTTAAAGAAACAGTACATTTGATCATCTATTGTGCAACAGGAAACCACACACTACAGATACTAGGTTTACAATTAAATCATCACTCCTTAAATGTCACTAGAAACAGATGGACTAAGTTTTACAAATAAATCACTCCTTAATTTTTTCCCTTTATCCTCTTTACTGGATTAACAGAAATAGCTTTGAGAGAAAATAGCAACAGTTGGTTTATGAATGAAGCCGTGCAAATTCATAATCATAAAAGAGTAACTGTGCACAGTTACTCTTCACTAAGGCACACCTGAACCTGTTTTGGATGTCTATACGACCTCCAAGTCAGACGTTCAAACATTCGGCAGTGTTTTATATCGACGTACAAGTGAGGTCATGGTTAGACGTCCAGAGTGGACCACGTCGTGGAGACGTCCAGAATTGGTCTAGATCGACGGACTCAATATAAACGTGATCTGCACGTCCATTCGACGTCTAATGTTTAGTGGGCAGTGGGCCCAGACTGGAAGAATACAGACAGAGTGAAGTTTCAGTGTTGTTCAGTGTTG